CCCTCGACGGCGCCGCCAAACAAGCAGGGCACATCGTTGTTGGGGAATCCCCAATAGGGGGGTCGTATTTGGCCGCCAGGAGAGGGGGGTCGTATTTGGGCTGGGAAAAATTTATTTTGATAGTTGATTTTTCTCGCTTCACGGACGTTGTAAAGGGGGGGGTCGTACGGACTCGACTGAAATCCCCAACCAATGATGTGCCCTGACGCCAAAGTCGTAATGAACGCCACCATGTCCTGATGTTGCGCCGTGTCTACCCCTTCAACCACGACAATAAATGTCAGAGACATGGTTCCCTTAGCCCCCTCCCCCATCAATCTGCGGCAGCACCGTTAGCAGAGCAACTATTGAACAACAGTTGATCGCAATGATCACTGGGCATGGGCGTTCAAACCTACCGCTGCTCCTTCCATGCGCCCAGCCTTTCCAAGTGGACAAAGTGGAGGAGCGGGCCAATGAGACAGGCATAACCATGGGTCTGACTCCTTCTGACAGATGGTTTGAACCCTGTCTTCAAGGAAGTGGGTTTGGGTTCAAAATAATCGAAGTAAAAGTTGTAATTGTGGCTGAGAACTTCAAATGTAACTTGCTAGGGCTTCTATGCGCGTACAAAACAAGGAAATTGGAAATAAGCAATAAATAAATAAACGAATAAATACAAAAAGTAATAAAATTAATGGGAACATGGGATTGAGCTGAACTAAAAAGCACTTACTTGTTATTTGTGTACTCCATCATCATGGTAAGAGATGTCACCTAGAAAAAATGTGATATTTTTCTTACAGTATTTTGTGCTAGTCAGGTGCTTATAGTGTAGTTCGCTGCGGACGGTTGGGCGTGTCAGTGCGGCTGCGTTTGGCGCGGTGCCAAACTCGTTCTCCACCAGTTGTTGAAGCGGGCAAGTGATATGACTGTATCATATCGTTCGTATTACTCGTTTTCTACCACTTTTTGTCGCATGCGCGCTTCAACAAGAAGGCAGAGAACGGCTTTGACGGGGTGACACACTCATACTGCCTGACACGCCCAACCGGCAGCGAACTAGAGTGTATATTAATGAACTTTTTTCCCCTTATAGAAGTTCTGGTTGGGAGCGTGTTCAGCCACAGGAGAATCTTGGTATCTGCGCCACAGGCCCCGACAGAGGCAGTAGCTTGGGTAGCAGGAATTTTCGCGATAAGCTGGAACATTCGTGCCGGGGGAGGAGAGTAACAACTACCCGGAGCGACGAATCTCTCTTCAAATCCGCTTCTTGGGTCAGATTTCGAAGAAGTCCCACCCTAAAAAATGAATAGTAGGGTCGCTGTGTCTTCTTCATCATCCACCTTTCTCTACTTTTTTCAGGAGTAATTTCAAATGGGCAACTGTCTGTTGTTACTTTGAACAGTCTGGTCTGCCAACGGGGCGACTGGCCGAAAACGTTTTCAGCCCTGATTTTTCTGGTCCCCTCATATTTTTTCTTTGCAAATTTTGAACAACAACTAAGTACCTCGATAACTCCATAGAGGAAACAGTTCACTCCTTGAATGCTCGCGTATGCAATCCAATTCTGGGATGCCGTAGACATCATCGACGTGATAATGATTAAAAGTTGTCCAGTGAAAAAGATGGTCTGTCGGCCCAAGTGGTCTCCCATGTGACCGCCCATGATCGAACCGATTAGCTGGAAATATACATAGGTGTGGTGGCCTCGAGGTTAAGCTGTCCAACAAGAAGTGTTTTGTAACGAAGAGCTAGCTGAGGCGCTCATAAAAGGGGAAGCTCCGCCCACGAGGGGCCACTCTTTAGCGTCTTCAAAATGTACTGCTTTAACGCTTCTTCTACAGAAATCTATTCGAAATGTATGGCAGAATATTGTGCTTACCGATCCGCCAGCTTGGATCACTTGAATCCATTTCACTTTGTCTGCATCATCACAAATCATCTTGAAATCGGCCACCAATGAAACAAATTCTACTGTGCTTCTCTGAAATCGGATATGAATGGTCATCACCAGGAAGCTGACGGAAGCTGATGGCTCCCGTTGATCTGTCGAACGACCCCTGGTTTGCTTCTGGCTACCTTTCGCTAAACAGCAGCGAGAGGGTAAACTGACTGATAGTGACCTCAGTAGTCTTCTGTTTTTCTCCTATCTCAAATCAGTTGTGTAATTCCTGTGGTTCATTCCCATGCAACGGTGGAGAAAACCATTCAGGCTGTTTTCCAGTCCGCGCCCCGTTCGTTGGCGGGAACTATGGCTGTAGATACCGCACCTCGACGACCCGTCGTCTAGCCCAGTATGGCCGACTACGCAATGGCTTCCCTTTGATGTATGGTCACTAGATCTGTCTGAGAATAATCGCATGAGTCGAGATGGTTGTATAGGTTGCGTGGACGTTTGATATAAAAACTCATGGGCGACGCTGCACGCAGCGCGTGCTGGGTAACGTCACGGAGATTGCACGGCGAATTCGCAGGGGCCTATAAACTGGTCTTCGACGACACTGAACTCGCCAGTACGTTAGCACCGCACGATAAACAGCACTGGATGACGTGGAGGAGAGCTAGAGCGCAGTTTAAGACAGTTTTCGTTACTACAAGTTGCAGGTAATCAAGTAAAACGGCAAGTGTTCCG